GGATTTTACCGGGAATGGCTGCCGATTTTGTGATGATTTCCCTTCCCAAAAATCATCCAGGGGTGTTTCAGAAACTTGAAACACCCCATTGCAGTCTACAGCCCCGCAAGAGGCGACTGGTCAGTGTGAAACAAGGTCAGTTGGGACGAGTCCCCTTCTGAACTAACCAGTCATTGATCCAATTCATTATCCAAATGATTTTTCCATCTGTGGATATTGCCATTTGCTGCTGCCGTGGCCATTTCCTCCCAAAGAAACACTCACGGCACGAAGAGGTGGGTGCTTCGAAGCCAACCAGAACGCTACGCTGCGACTTCACGTGCTTTGCTTGCACTTCTTTGTGGACAAGGACTTCGTGTGACTTGATCCTGCAACTGCTGCCCAGTTGATACAATCATTTATCCAAATCAGTGCTTTCCAAATCACGACCAGTTTCGCAGACTTCCAGGACAACTGAGATCCCCCACCGCCATGGCTTTCTTCCAAACGCTTTGAGGCCTTGGGACAGTGATTGGTGGTTGGTACCATCAATATGCGAAAGTCACTGGGGATTATCCTGAATCCCAATGAAAATCCTCCACCATTGGATGCCATGAAAACCCGCCATTTTTGAAAGATTTGGACATTTCCCACAAAATTGGATTCCATTGGAAAAACCCAGGGGCAAAGTCAAGAATGTGAAACAACCAGCCCGTTTCAGAAACGCAGCTAGCGGGTTTGTAATGGCAATTTGAAGCCACTGGGGCCCCGATGGCAGCCTGAAGCCCTTTTTGGAAGATGGAACTGGCGATTTGCCAAAGGATGGCAAAGTAAAAATGCAATGGTTAAAAACAGTTGTCAGTTGTACACTCCTAGGTACTACCTTCTCCATTTCAAGGCCTCAAAGTTGTAGGTGTTTCCAAAGTCCAACGTTCCTCAGCAGCCTGGGGACCCTACACATCAGCTTCCTCAGGAATGCTGGAATCGCCTGGTGGAGTTGATCGAGAGGAGTGACGCAGAAAGAAATGAATTGGTCTCAATTAGTATCAGCAAAAAGTAAATAAATAAATATGTATATATATATATGTAAATATATGTAAATGTAGATACATGTATATATATATGTAAAGATAAGTAAATGCATATTTAAATGTATATACCGTATATGTAAATATAAATATGTAAACATAAAAAAATATGTATATATGTAAATATATGTAAATGTAGATATATATATATCTATATATATATGTATCTATATGTAAATAGATGTCTATATAAATTTAAACAAATGAATATATATATATATACATTAATATATGTATATATATATGCATACAAATATATGTGTACATATATATATATAATATGTACATGTACACGTACACGTCCATGTATATGTATATGTATATGTATATGTATGTAAATACATGTAAAAATAAATGTGTACATATAAATATATGTAAGACTATATATATATGTATATGTATATGTATATGCATATGTATATGTATATGCATATGTATATATAATTACCTACATGTGTAGATATGTATTTGTATAAGTATGTAGGTGTGTAGATATGTAAATATGTAAATATGTATACTTGTAATCTGTAAATGTATGTAAATATGTGTATGAATATATCTATGTAAGTATGTATGTCTGTATATATATAACTAAATGCATGTATATCAATGTATATACATAAAAATGCATATATATATATGTGTAAACATATGTGCATATGTATATGTATATATGCATCTCTATATGTATATATATATCATGTATACATGGATATAGGTTTACAGTATATGTTAAAATAAAAATGTATATACGTATATATGCAAAAATATGTATATACATAAATGTATATCTGTATATGTGAAAATAAATATGTAAATATGTGTGTGTATATGTAAATGCATATGTACATATGTATCTATTGAAATGTAAATATGTAATTATACATAAATATGTAATTATACATAAATATGTAAATACATAAATGTATATATGTATGTTTATATGTGACTGTATATGTGTATATATATATATGTATATATATGTATATGTATATATGTATATGTAAATGCAAATGTATATGTATGTATCTATGTATGTATGTATGTACGTATGTATGTATGTATGTATGTAAAGAAATGATTATATGTGTCCAACAATGTATACATATATATGTATCTGTAAGTATATGCATATATGTAAATATGTAAATGTATATGCCAGATAGAATGCCACATAAAATGTCAGAATATATTCCAGGTAAAATGCCAGTTAAAACGTCACAATATGTCAAAATATATGTCAGTTGGAACGTCAAATAGACTAAAAGAAAAAATGTCAAAATATATGTTAGATAGAATGCCAGATAAGACGTCTAGACCTTATGTGAGATAAAATGCCAGAAAGACTGCCACACATAATGCCAGAATATATGTCAGGTAGAATGCCAGGTAAATTACCGTCAAAACATATGCCAGCTAGAATGCCAAATATAATGCCAGATAAAATGTCAGAATATATGTTAGATAGAATGCCATATGACATGTCAGAATATATGTCAGGTAGAATGCCAGATAGACTGCCACATAAAATGTCGGAATATATGTCAGGTACAATGCCAGGTAAAACTTCAAAACATGTCAGTGGGAATGTCAAATAGACTCCAAAAATGTCAGAGTATATGTAAGATAGAAAGCCAGATAAGACGTCAGAATAGAATGCCAGTAAAAATGTCAAAATATATGTCAGGCAGAATGCCAGATAAAATGTCAAACATATGTCAGCTCGAATGTCGAAGAGAATGCGAGACAAAATGCCAGAATATATGTCAGGTAGAATGCCAGATAAAATGTAAAAAACATATGTCAGCTCAAATGTGAAAGATAATGCCAGAAAACATGTCAGAATATATGTCAGGTAGAATGCCAGATAAAAAGGCCAAAACATATGTCAGCTCGAATGTCAAAACGAATGCCAGATGAAATGTCGGAATATATGTCAGGTAGAATGCCAGAAAAAATGTCAAAACATATGTCAGCTAGAATGTCAAAGAGAATTCCAGATAAAATGTCAGAATGTATGTCAGCTAGAATGTCAAATAGAATGCCAGTAAAAATATCAAGACATATGTCAGACAGAATGCCAGATAAAATGTCTAACATATGTGAGCTAGAATGTCAAAGAGAATGGCAGACAAAATGTCAGAATATATGTCAGGTAGAATGCCAGATAAAATGTCAAAACATATGTCAGCTAGAATGCCAGATGAAACGCCAGAATATATGTCAGGTAGGTAGAATGCCAGAAAAGATGTCAGACCATATGTCAGCTAGAATGCCAAAGAGAAGGCCAGATGCAACGTCAGAATATATGTCAGGTAGAATGCCAGATAAAATGTCAAAACATATGTCAGCTAGAATGTCAAAGAGAATGCCAGATAAAATGTCAGAATGTATGTCAGGTAGAATGCCAGATAAGATGTCAACACATATGTCAGCTAGAATGCCGAACAGAATGCCAGATAAAATGTCAGAATATATGTCAGGTACAATGCCAGATAAAATGTCAAAACATATGTCAGCTAGAATGCCAAAGAGAATGCCAGATGCAACGTCAGAATATATGTCAGGTAGAATGCCAGATAAAATGCCAAAACATATGTCAGCTAGAATGTCAAACAGAATGCCAGATAAAATGTCAGAATGTATGTCAGGTAGAATGCCAGATAAAATGTCAAAACATATGTCAGCTAGAATGTCAAACAGAATGCCAGATAAAATGCCAAAATATATGTCAGGTAGAATGCCAGATAATATGTCAGAATATATGCCAGCGAGAATGTCAGATAAAATGTCAAAACATATGTCAGCTAGAATGTCAAATAGAATGCCAGTAAAAATGTCAAAGTATATGTCAGCTAGAATGCCAGATAAAATGTCAAAACATATGTCAGCTAGAATGCCCAAGAGAATGCCAGATGAAATGTCAGAATATATGTCAGGTAGAATGCCAGATAAAATGTCAAAACGTATGTCAGCTAGAATGTGAAACAGAATGCCAGATAAAATGTCAGAATGTCAGGTAGAATGCCAGATAAGATGTCAACACATATGTCAGCTAGAATGTCAAATAGAATGCCAGATAAAATGTCAGAATATATGTCAGGTAGAATGCCAGATAAAATGTCAGAATATATGTCAGCGAGAGTGTCAAATAGAATGCCAGTAAAAATGTCAACATATATGTCAGGCAGAATGCCAGATAAAATGTCTAACATATGTCAGCTCGAATGTCGAAGAGGATGCGAGACAAAATGCCAGAATATATGTCAGCTAGAATGCCAGATAAAATGTCAAAACATATGTCAGCTCGAATGTCAAAAAGGATGCCAGATAAAATGTCAGAATGTATGTCAGGTAGAATGCCAGAAAAAATGTCAAAACGTATGTCAGCTAGAATGTGAAACAGAATGCCAGATAAAATGTCAGAATGTATGTCAGGTAGAATGCCAGATAAAATGTCAAAACATATGTCAGCTCGAATGTCAAATGAAATGTCAGAATATATGTCAGCTAGAATGTCAAATAGAATGCCAGATGAAATGTCAGAATATATGTCAGGTAGAATGCCAGATAAAATGTCAAAACGTATGTCAGCTAGAATGTGAAACAGAATGCCAGATAAAATGTCAGAATGTATGTCAGGTAGAATGCCAGATAAAATGTCAAAACATATGTCAGCTCGAATGTCAAATAGAATGTCAAATGAAATGTCAGAATATATGTCAGGTAGAATGCCAGAAAACATTGTCAATACATATTGCTGGAATGTGAAATAGAATGCCAGATAAAATGTCAACATATATGTCAGCTCGAATGTCAAAGATAATGCCAGATAAAATGTCAGAATGTATGTGTACAAAATGTGAGAATGGCGGCAGATTTTTTTCGCCACGCTGGGGATGACTAGCCTTTGAGGCATGCGGTGGTTGGCACCTTTCACAAGCTGCATTCTGGCTTGTTTCGAGGGCCTGCGCAGATTCTGTCGCAGCATCTTGGGGCAATGGGTAGAATTCCCCCCTTTAAAATATGAAACAGTCCCATTGTATGGACCCATTGCTAGATGTAAATCCCCTACCAAACCACAGGTTTTTTTTTTGGGATTCCGAAATCGGAAAAAGATGGACATTTTCGATGATCTCATGGGGGTTTGCCATGTTTGCTTTCCGGGTATCTGGGGATCAAAATATTGGCAAATGAGAATCCGGTGGTGATTCATGTACCCAATATAGCAGTATACCATCTACAATCGAAGATGTGACGATTTTTGTCTCATCTTTCGGACCTCAACTTGTCATGGGTAAAAGAGTCATTGGAAGCCACTTGATTAAACGTCAACAAACACAGACATCCAGTTGATATGTAAATAAATATTTGAAATGACACATATATATATATATATATATCTATATCTATGTAAGTTTAGGTGTGTATATATATATATATCTATATATATATATACATATACGCGCAACCCCCCAGTTCTCCCACACAACTTCTTAGGGATTTTGAAGGAATATAAATTCCGACCCCCGTTAAACTTTACATTCAAGTGGGAAGATCAACAAGGGTATTAGGAATATAAATTCCCACCCCCGTTGAACTTTACATTCAATTGGGAAGATCAACATGGGTACTGGGAATATAAATTCCCACCGCCGTTAAACTTTACATTCAATTGGGAAGACCAACAGGGGTATTAGGAATGTAAATTCCCACCCCCGTTCAACTTTACATTCAATTGGGAAGATGAAGATGAGGATGAAGATGATGAAGATGAAGATGAAAATGATGATGATGATGATGATGGTGATGGTGATGCTGCTGCTGCTGATGATGATGTTGATGATGATGTTGATGATGATGATGATGTTGTTGTAACATTCAACGCACAGGTAGCTAAGCTGTGTGTTGCAAGATGAAAGCCATGATCATGGACATGTGCATTTTGTCCCACAAAACAGTGTTTTTAGATGTTCGGACATGTTGTCGGCGTCGGCGCGGGCAAACTGAGGGGTTTGCCCGTATATATACATATGTAGTTGCACTAACACACACACATATATATATATATGTATCCATATATACACCTACACACACATATATATATATGTATCCATATATACACCTACACACACATATATATATGTATCCATATATACACCTACACACACATATATATATGTATCCATATATACACCTACACACACACATATATATATATGTATCCATATATACACCTACACACACATATATATATATACACATCTGGAAAAGTATCCTAATCCATGAAATCTTAAACAAAAGACCATTTCGAGGCACCTTTCCACCCGAGCTGACCTTAAACGCTTAGGTCTTTGTCCTTCGTGTACCAAGTGACCTCAGCTATGATCATCCCAGGATGGAAAGTCCATGGTCTAGGGAGTCTACGGTCACCCCGGGTAAGTTATGATCCGTCCTAAACGGGACAATGGGACTTGTTTGAAATTATTGGAATGATACCAATGATACCTCGCATCTTACTTGATCAGTTTCGGAGACCTCAAGCCTCTAAAGAACGGAAGAACGGAGCGGTTTCATATTGTTTCATGGGGTACTGGCCCAAACAACCGTCAGTTTTGATTTAGCTTCAACCCCATATGTTTCATGCTTATGGCCTCGCCTTCATGGCACCCCAAAGGTGTCGCCTTTCGAGGTTGAATCCTCACGATGAATTCTGTTTGGAAAATGATCCTCTGCTGGGTATATCCATATGTGTGTTTCTGTTTGTATAATGGGCTTGTACCCCAGTTATTGGTGCTTCTGTCCCAAGATTAAAGTAACCGTATTGCTGGAGATGATCCAGGGACCCACAGTTGGAAGTGGGTCATCCCACGAACTGTCCAAACACAGAACTACAGACATCCATATTCTCATATCTTCTTGTAGGTTAAGCTATATACCATGAATATCCTGTAAATATCTCATGCAATCCCATAATTTTCCCAGTTATCTATCCCATCTGCCCTCCGATGTGGTCAAAGATGGCCTGCTGGAAAATCTACCATCGCCGTGTTTGATGACACCGTTGCGGGTATAAAGCAATATCCCATGCATATATTTCATTTATCCCCATGATATGCCCATTATTATATCACCATTTTTCTTGGCTAAATCATATTACATCACAATTTTTGTTCTTTAAAACATGGTATAGCGCAGTTGTAAATGCTTAAATCATGTTGAAGCACCTGAAAAGCAGTTCCAAGTAGCCATGTTTGATGTCAGCAAAAGGTATCCCCCATAAAATGGTAAAATCCTAATAAGATCACCAAAATTTGTTTGTTAAATCCTGTTGGCTGCAACCTTGACGTTTCTCTGTATTGCAACCCCTGCGACTAGAACGGGAACTTGTCACGGGACTAACATGAGTGTTCCAGTGTGCAGCCAGATGCCTCTCAGTTCTGCTGTGATTGGTATGCTTCAAGCGGGGACATGGATAACGTTCGAGGGCGATAGTTTGACGTAATAGTTTGACGTAATAGTTTGATGGGGGCGGCGTATTTGATCCCTTATGACGATTGAAGTTAATATCCCATTCAATCTATTGTTGAGAGCAGGGTCGCGGTTGATCCCTGATGGAGATAAGTTGAAGTTAATGTCCCATTCAATATATTGTTCAGATTACGTGGCGGAGTTGATCCCTTATGAAGATAAAGTGAAGTTAATATCCCATTCAATACATTGTTCAGAGTGGATTTAACCCTTCATGTGAATTGAGTAGCGGTCCCTGTTCTTCCCCTTCCATATTACCATCGCCTTGCGACTCGAAGATCAAATCGTGAATCGCACTGCCATGCTTTCACATCTTGACTAGTCAGTCCTTGGGACCAAAACCACAGGTATTTGATCGTCCTTTAAATCATCATGGCCCTGTGGAGATAGTGTTGGCGACGACCGTCTGGGTTGGGGCGATCATGTTCTCACACTATTTGAGGTTGGCCCGAGCTTCCCCTTGCACCAAGGTGCAGTTGTGACACGCTACACCGTTCTTGCAGAGACCTTTGAACCTTAGTCCGAATGGTAGGGATTTAGCCAATAATTAAACCGGCCAGCAAGCTGCAAAAATGGGGATCTAACCACTATATATATATTATACATATGTAAATGCATATACATATATATATATATAAATATGTATGTATGTATGTATGTCTGTATGTCTGTATGTCTGTATGTCTGTATGTCTGTATGTCTGTATGTCTGTATGTCTGTATGTCTGTATGTATGTATGTATGTATGTATGTATGTATGTATGTATGTATGTATGTATGTATGTATGTATGTATGTATGTGTACATGTATATACATATGTGTGTATGTATGTATGTGTGTATGCATGTGTACATGTATATACATATGTATGTATGTATGTATATATACCTACTAATCGAGCGGATGGCGGATGTAATGGAAATACGTAGTGGGTTTTGTCAACTTTCAGAGGGTCAGACCGGATTCACTTCGGAGATCCAATCAACTGCAGATGGCCAGATTAGGGTATTTACCACATATTAAATTATATAATACAATACAATACAATATAATATAATATAATATTATATTGTACTATACTATATAAACCATCACGCGTCGTTGACTATCTTGTGCTGAACAAAAACAGTTTGTCTATTTCTACTTGGTGGTTGAGCCAAATGACCGTGATCGATACATTCAGCTTCGTCCATGAGCCGACAAAAATACTAGTGATACCGTCAGTCTCTTCCGCAGCCAACAATAAATAGATGTAATGGATCAAATAAAAAAAACAAATATCAACACTAGATCAACGTATCTTTAGTATTTAGATTACCACGTCAAGTAATCGATCAAAATAGAAATCGATTTCGGGTTGGCGCCACAGCATCCCACGCCATCGAAGATGCCAGCTTTGATGCCACGCGGCAGTGGAGGTTATTACTGGGTATAAGTATCGAAATAATTAACCTTCATAAGTTGGGAATATGACATAACCCCTCTAATGATATAAACCTATGTACCATGAATTTCTGATCCCCACAAACCAGTCCACTCGAACTTCGTCGTGTTCGAAGTTGCCAAGGTGCCAATATGCGCACGGCTTGCAATGACCTCATCAGGGATCATCATCCCGTAGGCTGTTTGAGGTGATTGGCTTAGCCTGTCAACAACAATCATGGGAATTAATATGATCTAATATGATTTCATGGGGATCAAATGATCAAATATGATGCTCATGGGAAAAAACGATGGGTGGATGAAAATGGGCTATATCCACAATTGATTGGCGTTGGGATCATTGATGATTCACCGGTGATTGGCTTTTGGGCCCAATTTTCAGCGGTGATTTGTCCACAAAGTTTGGTTGTGAAAATGCTGTTTTAAGTCATGCGGATATAGTGGTTGTGCCAAGCCATCGTAAGTGGATCGGCACGATCACCGGTATAATCAGTGGTGATTCTACTTGGCCCCCTGTTACATCAACATTTCACTGGAGATGCCATTGCTCCTTATTACTCCATGAAAATGGCGAAAGATCAAGCTAGCAGCCTGGCATTTGGACTCACCTGCCAATGAGTTTCCGTACAAAATGTCTCCCAAAATGGCAAAGAATCAATCCATAGTCACAAACAATACCCCATTTTGTGACCTTTAGAGAATTGGGAAAACTCTGGGCACTTCAGAGGTTCCAATCATCTCGGGGGGGCAATTGTCCATAGGTTATCACAGGCATACTGGCTGTGGAAATTCGGACTTGGAGCTGACCAAAGTAGCGTCATAAAAACCAACAGGCTCCAGTGTCTGGGTGTCTTACATCCTCTCTTGGTTTTACCCGAGTTTGGCAAAAATGCAACGTATTTCGCAAATTGAGCCATTGTGTTTGGGCCACGGTTCACAAGTCGCTGGCTGAGAGCGATACCTTTGGGACTTTCTGCAGGGCTGATGCTTCAGGGGAAGGGATCAGGCTGGATTATTGACATTACCAACTTCAGACCTTTGGTGATTTTGCGGTGGATGCTCATATATGTAAACCATTGTTTATGGTGACACAGTCCAGTGAGGTCGTTGCAGTTGACAATCAGACATAAGCCGTTCTTGGCATCATTCTTCATATTCCCATGATATTCGCATGATATCCCGGTCATATTCCCGTTACCCTCTGGTGAACTAACATAGCAATGGAAAATCACCATTCTTAATGGGAAAATACACTATTTCTATAGCCATTTTCCATTGCTATGTTAGTTCACCAGAGGGTATACCCAGACGATCTTCCAATTTTCTTCAGCCTTTGGAACTTCTGCCCAGGCACCATCTTCATGTGGGACACTTCCAAGGGATGTCAAACGTCCCGCCTGGACATGGGGAAACTTCACCAGTATGGGGAAACAGAAATGACAACGACTGGTGATATTCAGTTGTGTATATACATATATATATATAAATAATAAATATATATATATGACATATATAATATAGATATGTATGTATATATATAATATATATATATATATATATATATTATATATTATATATATAATATATATATATATATAATATTATGTATATATATATATACACATACATATCAAATAGGAGGAACAAAGTTGATGCTTCTTGACAATTTTACAAAACATCCATCTCGGTCAGCCGCGGATCACGTTTTCAAGTCCGTTTTGTGTGGCAGGTGTGGGACAGTCAATTATCACCCTCTTTCAAATCTATGATATTTTGAAGCTTTTGGAGGGTGGAAATGGGACCAGGGTACGACAAAGCTCCATGCTAGGATTCTAACGGGGAAGGGTGTGCGGAAGAAGAAACCACACATGTTCACTGTCGGAAGCTCAACAAGCGCAACTTTTGTCTTACCAGTGTATATTCACTGGGAAAATCATCACAGCTCCCAGACATGGGATGGCTTCAAACATCACGAATTAACATGTTCGTTATGTCTCCAGGGCTCTCGCAGGTCTATTGCCACTCAGCATCACTCAATCTCGGAGCCTACATACTCATCAAACTGGTTGCGCCAAGTTCTCATGCACCCCTATTTTGCGGCAACACCAGCTATCCGCCAACCATTCGCAGGAAATCTCCTCTCATGCGCCCCTCCCCCTCGCCCCATGCGCACCTCATCTTTGGGAAGGTTGTTTAAGATATCAAGGCCTCAGGGAATTATGGACACCAAGAGAGGGGATGGAGATGAAGTGGTAGACTTCCCAAGGTCTGTTCTGCCCCGGCGCTTGACGACCCAAGGATAGTCGTTCGGAACATCTTCGAAACGGGGGCCATGAGATTTCAATGAAAAAGATCGAAGAAAGTGCCGAAGATCTCAGAGGTTTTTGCCAGAGAACTAAGGCCAATCTGAAATACTTCTCAAAAAGTTAATCCTATTGCGACTTTATGTTTCATATGTTTCACTCAGTTTCCACCAAACAAGGCCATACTGTTTTTTTTGCCTGGAATTCATCTTTCATTGGAAACTATTTTCCTCATTTTTGGCAGCATCTTCGGCGCTTAGACCTCTGTTTTTGAGGTTTGCATTAGAACAAGATTGTAGCTGGTTCAATCCGAATTGTGGATGACTTTTCTTTCCTTTTTTGCAGCTTTTCCGAGAACATCCCAAGTTGGTGAGTCAAAGTCATTTGTTCATTGTAATCTTAGATACCTGCCAAACAAACTCTATCTTTTAGCTGGTTGGTACATTTTACCTTTGATAGCAAAAACTTAAAGTACTAGTCCGTAACCATTTTTTTTTCAGAACATGGTGATTTTCCACATCTAAAACGTTTACCCCAATTTTCTATAGGTAAATCACCATTTTTGGTAAAGTCCAATTTTGTTTGCGCCACCGGTGACTCGACGACGGTGATTTTTTGGTCCAAGGGACAACGCCGTCGCACCTCGGGTGTGACGTGTTCCTGCAGTTTTTTTGCTGCGAGATATGGGTTTCTTGCAGAGAAAGTACATTCCCGGGGATTGAATATATATAATTATATATCTATATGTATGTATGTATGTATGTATGTATGTATGTATGTATGTATGTATGTGTACATGTATATACATATGTGTGTATGTATGTATGTGTGTATGCATGTGTACATGTATATACATATGTATGTATGTATGTATGTATGTATGTATGTATGTATGTATGTATGTATGTATGTATGTATGTATGTATGTATGTATGTATGTGTGTACGTACGTACGTACAAACGTACGTACGTACGTAGGTACGTAGGTAGGTAGGTAGGTAGGTAGGTAGGTAGGTAGGTAGGTATGTGTGTATGTATGTATGTATGTATGTATGTATGTATGTATGTATGTATGTATGTATGTATGTATGTATGTATGTATGTATGTATGTGTACATGTAAATACAAATGTGTGTATGTATGTATGTATGAATGTATGTATGTATGTATGTATGTATGTATGTATGTGTACATGTATATACATATGTGTGTACATGTATATACATATGTGTGTACATGTATATACATATGTGTGTATGTATGTATGTATGTATGCATGCATGTATGTATGTATGTATGTATTGATGTATGTATGTATGTATGTATGTATGTATGTATGTATGTATGTATGTATGTATGTATGTATGTATGTATGTGTGCGAGGTAGGTAGGTAGGTAGGTAGGTATGTAGGTATGTAGGTATGTAGGTATGTAGGTATGTAGGTATGTATGTATGTATGTATGTGTGTATGTGGGTACGTACGTACGTACGTAGGTAGGTAGGTAGGTAGGTATGTAGGTATGTATGTGTGTATGTATGTATGTATGTATGTATGTATGTATGTATGTATGTATGTATGTATGTATGTATGTATGTATGTATGTGTACATGTATATACCTATGTGTGTACATGTATATACATATGTGCGTATGTATGTATGTATGTATGTATGTATGTATGTATGTATGTATGTATGTATGTATGTATGTATGTATGTATGTATGTATGTATGTATGTATGTATGTATGTATGTGTACATGTATATACATATGTGTGTACATGTATATACATATGTGTGTATGTATGTATGTATGCATGCATGCATGTATGTATGTATGTGTACATGTATATACATATGTGTGTATGTATGTATGTATGTATGTATGTATGTATGTATGTATGTATGTATGTATGTATGTATGTATGTATGTATGTGTGTACGTACGTACGTACGTAGGTAGGTAGGTAGGTAGGTATGTATGTGTGTATGTATGTATGTATGTATGTATGTATGTATGTGTACATGTATATACATATGTGTGTATGTATGTATGTATGTATGTATGTATGTATGTATGTATGTATGTATGTATGTATGTATGTATGTATGTATGTATGTATGTGTGCGAGGTAGGTAGGTAGGTAGGTATGTATGTATGTATGTGTGTATGTGTGTATGTGTGTATGTGTGTGTATGTGTGTATGTGTGTATGTGTGTATGTGTGTATGGGTGTATGCGTGTATGCGTGTATGCGTGTATGTGTGTATGTGTATGTGTATGTATATGTATATGTATATCATAGACTTATTGTAATCGGATATATTGGATAGAACCAAGTATAACTTGATATATTGTGTTCCATGAAATATGGTATACATATGTATATATATATATACACATATATATATATACATGTATATATATATACACGTACATGTCATTGATTCAAACTATTTGTATACGAGGGTTTCACTAGCAGAAAGTAGCCCATTCGATAGGAATATCACTGGATATAAGTGAATACAATGGGATATGTAAATAACAATGATATATGGGTTCGAATGGAGTTTTATATTGGCGTGTGCCCCGTGGTGTCCAAAACTTATTGGAATATCCCCTATGTCGCCATACAAAGGTAGCTGAGGTTACTTACAGAACAATTTCTGGTGGTGAATTCAACATTTTTAGACATACCAAAATCATCACAATTTTCAGACACAATGGCTAGTTGATGGGGATATCCGTGGTGGAATTTGATAGTCCCCGAGTGTATAAAGGATAGTATAACCGCCTTCAGTTATTAACCAGACTTCTGACACTGCACTTGTGGGTTTAACGAACAGAAAGTGGGGATTGGAAGCAACCGGAAAGAGCTAAACCATCAAGTGTTTTGGTTTGAACCAATAAACATGATGGGTTTACCACCCCAGAAACAGAGGAATTTAACAGGCACAATTCAGGGTCATGGGGTGGATTTACCAACCAGACATGTCGTGGAGGTTTAACGAAAAGGGATATGGCTTTGAGCCAACAAAGCTTGGGACTTTAAGCAACAGAAACGGAAGCTTCCGCAAACCAACAAGAAAGATATACCTTCGTTTGTCTGAAAAATAGGAACCCCCAAATCGTGTGTGTGTATATATATATTATACACGTATATGTATAGAGTATAATGTATATACATCACGTATATACACATAGATGTCGTATCCGGATGGGGATTTAAAATAATGGCGGCCTAGCCTTGAACACTAGGTGTCAACGTATTCTGTGAGTCTTGCAGAGGTGACAAACAACTGCCGCCTCCAATCCCTAGCCGGATACATCCACAGGAAAGTATTTGCAGTGGGGAAATCAAGTGCAAAGAAATGAGGAGACTGCCTGCACTATCTGAGGTTTTGCCAGAAATGGCATTTCAGGGCACAAGAATAGAACATCAATCAACAGAAATGGGGATTTAAACAACAAACATGAAGGTTAGACATGATTTGACCAACAGAAATAGGGCATTTAGTTGGCAAAAAAAATGTCTAAAAGAGGACTTGCAGGTCTAGTGCAACCAAAGATGGGATTTGGTTTTTAGTCAAAAAGGGGACTTCAATGGTTTCCGAGAAGATGCTTTAGCCAACACGCGGGGGATGCTGGAATTCATCCGAATATCCTGACGTCTTTCCGTGGTAAACATTCCGTCTATTTCCAGCGGTTCCAACACAATTCTTCATTCATTATATCATCCCAATGTTCCTGAGTTTTTGCCGCATGTGTTAAATCCAATGCAATGCACCTAGCATTTGCGATGATCCTTACCCGTAAACATATGGTGACTTGGGGATGGTTTCTGGTATTGCACATAAGCCGTGCATCACCAAACGCAGCCCCGAAAGTCCTTTGGTGCTTCCTCCTTTGGTGCTTCCTCGACCCTTGCCATTGACCTCGGCAACGAAAGCCGCAGCAATCGGAATTATGTATTTTGTCGACACAAACATGGGAAACAACAACAAATCATCCAAGAATAATGGGATATAATGGGATATATAATGGGATATAATGGGATGTAATGGGATATAATGGGATCTACCACCCATCATCAAGGTCAATTCCATAGCTTCTTATTCTTTTGTTATGTATTGTTAGATTATGTATTGTGATGTGATCTACCACCCTTCATCATTTCAAGTCTCAGAATTCTATTTGTCCGTAACACGGAAGTATTGCTTCCCAACTTCCTTTGATAATGGGATATAATGGGATATGATGGGATATAAATGGGTAGTGGGTATTGAAGCACTTCAACTTACCCCCGGGGTTTCTTTTTGAAAACGAGGGTCAGCTCTATCCACATTCCCACCGGGCAAAGCCCGGCGCCAAGATGCGATTCTGCCTCATCAAACCTTTCTGCTGAAAGCCTGCCAGGATGGAGCCCAAAGGAATGGATCGGTCCAAGCCGGTCCAAGCTTGTCCAGTTGAACGACTTTAGAAAAAAACATACCCAGATAAGACACTTGCGTCGTAGCAAGGAAGAATGTCGCTCTAGAACCAACCTCGGGGAATACAACTTTGAGTGGGGTCCAGTGGTCATCACAGTCATCCACCGGTACACCAACAAACCGGGTCTGCGCAGAAATGAGCAAGGGGCATTTCCACCTTTTGCCCAAGATATTGGAAGATCACAATCTTGTGTGTATATATATATACTGGTTGGTGGTTGACCTACCCCTTTGAAAAATATGACTCCGTCAGTTGGGATGATGACATTCCCAACTGAATAGAAAGTCATAAATATGATGTTCCAAACACCAACCAGTATATATATATACACAATTATATAATATCTATACCCTCTGGTTATTTAACATAGCCATGGAAACTGGCCCATTTATAGATGGTTTACCTATTAAAAATGGGTGGATCTTTCCATGGCTAACTGTTAGTCATAACCAGAGGGTATATATATTTCTTCGTCCAAAAACAGGAGAACCTCAAACTCCATTGACCTGTAAAGATCTGTTGTTGAAAGGAAATGATGGGCCATGATGGGCTATGATGGGCTCGGATGGAAAACACCAGTTCTTTTTGAAACCGCCAAGCAGTGATCTGTTGGAAAACTGAGATCTAACTTTGAGGGCCAGTCCACACTTTTAAAAAAATCACAGCTTTCTGCAATCATCATATCTTTAAAATTAGGTTCCCGGTTTCAGGTTGTTCTGCAAAGACACCATCCTTCAAAAGCAGGGTTTTCCTGACATTTTTGGCAGGTCCAAAAATCCCACAGTCCCAGTCCCAGTGTGAAGCCTGGGCCGCAATGGAGAAGCCGAAGCCGCCTTCGCGGCAGTGGAAGAGATTTGAGTTTGAAAACATGGGCAATGCTTACCATCACTGGATGCAAATTGCATATGATCCATATGGATATGGATGTCTAAGAGATAGACAAACAACACGAGGTCAACATTGTGCCGAGACCCTTTTCCTTTTGGGACGCCTTTGAATCTAAAAAAAAAAACACAATGGAGATGCAAACTCATGTAGATACGACAGATTCAAATGAGGATTAAACCAATGTCATTCAAAAAATGGTTTCTTTAAACCGCGAGAAACAACAAACACACCATCTATCTAACTGATAGTATATTGACAATAGATATTCAATTCCGTGGAAACGATACTTCAGTCACTCTTGCAAATACACGAAAGAACCAGCGAAAAGCTGACATCCATCGCAACCAATAATCAAGATATGATAGAACACACTGCAGAGTGAAACAACTCAGCTAACAGAAAGTTTTCAAAACTGAACCCTCCAAGCTTATGCGAAGGTTTCATTGTTGAAACCACTCTTTTTAATGGTGAAACACGCCATGAAAATGGCTAAATGTTCAACCTTGCCAGGGTCTCGCTGAATCCAAAAGTACATTTTTTTGGGTGGGATCATGCTGGAAGTTCTTGAATGACCAGTAAGCTGCTTGTAACCAACTTTTCCCAAGCTACAAGGGATTAGTAGGCCCTTAAGAAGGATTTCCAAACTTCCAAGATCATTCGAGTAGTGGGCTAGAGGACACTCAGCCATGTCAAAAGATCAGACGGCTTGATCTTGCGAGTGCTCAACTGTGCAATCACCATGGTCTTATCCACTAAACAAACAGTCATGACAGCAACATATCTGTTACACATCAAAGTGTTCGGTGTGTATTCCATTCATTCTACCCTCATTGCATCGCACGAAAATAGTACTACTCACCAACCCACCATCATTCACCAATTGTATGGATTATTTTCATATCCGTCATTGTGGATCATCCCGAAAATCAAACATTCGAACATCATTTTCATCAGCATGACATTTCCACTGAAAACTGGTTAAATCATCATTTTAGCTGGTAAAATCATCATTTTCAGCTGATAAAAAACCACTAAACCACCATTAAATCACCATTTCAGACGGTTAACAACCAATCCAGGAGCGGCTTCCGGCCTGAGAGGATCGGCTGGTACCTGACAGGGGATGTCTCCGATTGAGGATACAAAATACACATATACTATATATGAATATGAATATGTAAATGTATATGTGTGTATATATATATGTATATATATATGTATATATATATGTATATATATATATGTGTATATATGTATATATGTGTATATATGTATATATGTATATATGTATATATATATATGTATGTGTATAAAGATATGTATGCGTTCATGTATTGATGCGTCGGATTTACTTTTTTTGTACGATATGATATGAGAAGGATTGTCCCGCAACATTTGGGATAAAAGATGGGGCGCAATGGGCATTTAAGCCTTTTAAGCTCTCCATTGAGCAGGGGCAACAGGGCTGTATTCAGTGGCTCATTGAGGGGTTCAGAAACGCCAGTCCGTCGCAACAAAATTCTCCCAGAATGGGACAAAATCTCACTGGGACCAATGAGAATTCTCCAGAGCAACGCTATTTTGGAGTCATGGGGTGAACGCCTTGGCCAAGCTTTCCCAATATTCCTTGACTTTCAATGTGGCTTGTGGTCCCAATCTTCCCAGATTTTTTTTGTCACCCTTAAATTTGGGTGTTTTTCCCAGATTTTGGTATTGGCTGGTGGCCAATCGGGCCAATCCTAGGAATCCTAGCCAGCTTTAAGCTCCCAGCTTTAAGACACGGCCTGCTCCTATGGCAATTTGGCTTTTGGTGCCACCACCTGAGAGCGTCGTTTTGCGTCCCTTATTTGGGATCCAACAGATCCAAAATGAGTTTTTGGGTTTCAGGGTGAAGGGTATTTGATATTTTGGGGAAGGGATCAATATATATATAATGTGTATATATATAATGTGTGTATATATATAATGTGTATATATATGTATATAATGTGTATATATATAATGTGTATATATATAATGTGTATATATATATATATAATGTGTATATATATATAATGTGTATATATATAATATCTTTATCTTTAAGGGACTTCTTTTGTGATGACCAAGAAGAAGCGTTCAAGATCTTCGTTCGACCCAACAAACATAGCTTTCTAGCACCGAAAAATAGGGATGCAACCTGCTTAATGATTTCCAGCAAACAAATCGTGTCTGGTTGCAGGATGTCATCCACAATAAATTGTGGGAAAATCATTGGGGGTTGCAACATTTGGGTATCATACACCATTCAGAACCTAGAATTTTCCAAACATTACATAACATGAGATACAATAAGATAACACAAAATAACATGACACACCATAAACTTATATTACGTACATATTCATGCATGAGCATTGAAAAGCAGTGACAAACTGCCAGATTTTCCGTCCTGGAGGATTTCTCGACCTCTGCCACTTCACCAGTGACCAGTGACCAACCATGGCTGGAGGTCACAATAGACATAATCCAATAATAGAATTGTATATACCCCCATTTCATAGTCACCTCTATTGGTGATAGTGACGACTATTGGGACCCACATTAAAAAACACTGTTTTTATTTTCCGAGTCTAAGACTTGAGTCTGCATCGTCTGATATCTGGAGAAATCCATATGGCTTCGATCATTTTCCATGCCATGGTTTTTCCACATTTTTTCTGCGTCCCAAAATGCGGTACCCCGAAATTTGGGGCAAAGACAACAGACATTCTTTTTGACAAACACCCGAATTAGCCATCGAATGATTGATTGTTGCGGATGATTTATGGCATTGGCGCCCTCCTGCTCTCATGACCGTGATATAATGGACATCACCAATCATTGATCGTAAGAGAAATATTACATAACATCACCAATTATTGGTGATTTTATCTTCGTAATCTTTCACAGTAATTTTGCCAACCATTTTGGTTATGTTCTCACGCTCATTGATTTATATTCATTCACACCACCAAGTCTATTTCACCCTTCTGTAAACGCACAGTTCGATGTGGAGTTTACCCAGCATTTGTAGATCATTTTTCCGAACGGCTTTCCGGATTTTCCATATCTATGTCAGTTTCGGGGTACTGCTTCACCCATGAAACAATGACGAGCAGCCGGAGGAGGCAGAACTGCTAGACTTGTCCGCGGTGGCAGCACCCCTGTTGGTTTCAACTGGATGCAAAATTCATGGGGAAAATGTGTTTTTCCCCACCCGTGGCAATTGAAGCAGCAAAAAGGGCTTAAGCAACCATGGGGGAAATTCAGCAAGTGCCATTTGTTCACGTGTATCATTTGAATCACAAAGATGCGGGAAGTTAAGCGCCAAAAATGTGGAATGCAACCAACAAACATGGCTAACTTGACCACAAGATGTGTGAAAGCCAGCCGACAAAATTGGGCACCTCAGAATCGACAATCTGGAGCGTAAGCAACAAACATGGCGGAGATCCTCAACCATTTCATGATGGGATGTTAATGTGGCTACGAGTTCAGATATGGGGGTCACAGCCACTATAAAAAGGTCATAAACAGAGAATATTTGGAATACCATAAGAAAAACAAGCAACACATCCAGTGACTCAGCCACGATTCTCCTGGAAATGGCTGGTGGCATATGGTTCTACCTCAAAAATTGGGGATGCTTCATCTCTATCTGGTTGGTGGTTTTAACCATGTTGAAAAATATGAAAGTCAATGGTTGGTGGATTATCTCATATATTATGGGCAATAAAAGCCATGATTGAAACCACCAACCAGCTATGATCTTTGGTTGTGGCTTTATACCAAGATATACCAGCAAAAAATCCTGAGGTTGAGGTTCATACTGCGGGTGCTGAACATATGGTGCACAAAAACAAACTTCACCGATTCCAAGCCTCCAAACGACACTGGTGGTTATACTCAATATATCCTCATTAGATCCCCATCAATCGCTCGGTTTTACATGGTTTTACCCCTTCCAAATCTGTTAAATCTGTTGAATCCACTCCTCAAAATCCAATATTTGGTGAAATTCTGCCCTTTTTTGGTCACCGTTGACCTAAAACCATCATACGCCTCGGGCCATTCCCGGGCCTCTGTTCAGAGATGTTCGCGGAAGAGCCACTTTCAGACACCAACCAAACCTTGGGCACCTGTCCCTGGCGAGGAATGGTTTACCCAAGACATGGATTCAATGGATGTCAGAAATACACATGGTTTACCATGGTTTACCCAATTTTTGGGGGATCTGATTTTTTGATATTTTTTGGCCTCCCCAAAATGCAGACCGTTGAAGTTGCCAACTACTCATCGTTCGCCATTTTTCCGGTCAAGTTCTTGATCCCAAAGTCAGAAACGAATGTTGGTAAAGCAATGGTAAAACAGCAAACTATGGGTGGTTTATTGTTGCTCTACCAACATTGTGATGATGATGATGATGATGATGATTATCATTATGCTGATGATGATTATTATTATCAGATTAGGTTTTTCCCCAAATTCATGGGTCATCTTTATCGAGTCACAATTGATGATAATGTGGGCAACATTCTCCAGTAACTCTGAGATATGTCACAGATGTCAGTTGCGTTACCGAAGCATCTACCGACTCTGACATATTGTAGTTCTAGGGTTGGCGTCACCCACTTCTTGACAAATCTTAATCTGAGGGACCACCTACCATGCTTGTTGGTCCATGTGATGCGCCCGGAAAAGTACAGCTACAAATCCAAATACTGTTGCTGTGGTCATAGGTAATCCGAAATACCTTCGCAGAAACTGGATGTTTAGGTCTCAACTAGCTGTAGCGTCTCATTGTTCATCAAAATGGCCGATAGCAAATTTCTTTCCAACTACTGTTCATGTTGCAGGTGAGTTGCGAAGATCAAATCGGACATGACTGGCGAAAAAGGTGAGGGCTAGAGTTTGAAAATCTGGTCAAAGTGGATTTGGTGAACCTACTTGGTGGCTAATCTCTGGATAAATAGGGTTAATCCACTTATAACTGAGATATAACCCACTTACGATTCGTGGGTAGTTCGCCACCAAGTAGTACCATCAGATTTTTTTCCACTCTGTCCAAGTAGTGGGGATCAGCCCTGAAAAATCGGAGTGTCTGAAAACGGCTTTCAGCACTCATCAAATAACACACCTGAAGGGAAAATCATGATGAACAACAAAATGAAGTTCGGGGCTTTCCTGGAATTCTCAGATGAAACCAGACGCCTACAGATTTGTGGATGGAAATTGTGATTGGGTCACCAAAACATGGCTCCCTGCCTGAAAAATGGAGGAATCTTCACTCCAGTCTCGGCAGCGGCCGCGGAACAGGTACACGTCAGCATCTATCCATCTCTTTATCTATTTATCTGTTTCTCCATTGATCAATCAATCAATCAATCAACCAACCAACCAACCAAGCAATCAATCAAATCAAATCAAATCAAATCAATCAAGCAAGCAAGCAAGCAAGCAATCGATCAATCAATCAATCAAATCAACCAATCAAATCAATTTATTTGTCTAGCAATCTATTTGTCTAGCTATTTGTCAACCTATCTGTTTATCTACCCTCTGGTAATTTAAGATAGCGAACTGGAAGATCACAATTTTTCATAGGCAAATCAACTATAAAGGATTACAAATGGACATTTTCCATAGCTATGTTAAATTACCAGAGGGTATTTATCTTCCGAAGGGCCGGGAGGCCTTAAATTTTCAGAGGCCCGGACCATCGTCCTCCTCAACAGGAGCTTCCTGACATCGAAACTGGAGATTTCCAAAAACAGCATTTCAGTGGGATCATATTTGAACCACATACACACACAGAAATGTGTGTATACATATGTATATTATATATATATTATATGTATTATATGTATTATATATATATATGTATTATATATATATTATATGTATTATATGTATTATATATATATGTATGATATATATATATATATATTATATGTATTATATGTATTATATATATGTATTATATATATTATATGTATTATATGTATTATATATATATGTATTATATATATTATATGTATTATATGTATTATATATATATGTATTATATATATATATATTATATGTATTATATGTATTATATATATATTATATGTATTATATATATATTATATGTATTATATGTATTATATATATATGTATTATATATATATTATATGTATTATATGTATTATATATATATATGTATTATATATATATTATATGTATTATATGTATTATATGTATTATATATATATGTATTATATATATATTATATGTATTATATGTATTATATATATGTATTAAATATATATGTATTATATATATATTATATGTATTATATGTATTATATATATATGTATTATATATATTATATGTATTATATGTATTATATATATATGTATTATATATATATTATATGTATTATATGTATTATATATATATATATTATATGTATTATATGTATTATATATATATTATATGTATTATATATATATATATTATATGTATTATATGTATTATATATATATGTATTATATATATATTATATGTATTATATGTATTATATATATGTATTATATATATATTATATGTATTATATGTATTATATATATATGTATTATATATATATTATATGTATTATATATATATACACATCCACATTTGAGGTTTGTAGAAAAATGGGGGTAGCCCTAAATCCATGGCAAGTCATTGGACTATTTGGCCATGGATCTCTCCTGGGATTCTGACTCGGTCGAAATCGCTCCGGGCCAGGCCTGCTGGGATCGCAAGGAGTGTGTGGCCTGGCGCCGTCCGTTTTAGATGATGGGATGGGCCCTGTTTATGGAAGCCACGGCCCATAGAAAATGGTGATTTAATGGTGATTAATGGTGATTAATGGTGATTTACCCTCTGGCAAACTAACAGTTTGCTATTGAACATGGTGATTTATAGTGGATTTACCTATTCAAAGTGGTGATCTTCCGTTATGCAAACGTTTACCAGGGGGTAATTGGATGGCTCTTGGATAGCCTGCAACACTCAGTAAATTTCTGGGTAAATGGTCCCTGCCGAGTGTTCATGGCGCTGCGCTCAAGCACTTGGGGAGAACAATGGTCACGTGGCAACGCCAACACATTCCACTTTTGGGTATGGTTAATAATACCAACACCAAATAACCTTGAGTAAATTGGAGATGGTCTATTTTTGAGTTTACCACATTAGGTCCTATTTGGTTGGAGTATGATCGCACCTTCTCAGGCCGTGAGTTTCGATTAGGAACTAGCACGCATCAGATTCTTGGAATAAATGATGGACAGAGCTGTCCTTAGAAGGTGTCGAATATGAGCGAGACACTGAAGCTGTTGTCCTGGCTTCAGGATTGTCACAAGCTTGAAGACGGCACTCTGGACTTCGACTCCGAATGATGTTCATCAACTCGAACCAGCCTGAACATCTCATCATCGATCCTCTCGTACAGATTCAAGTACGCGGAGTCGGTTGGTGGAGGAATGGCTCCGTCGATCCACTTGAACGGGAGATTGCTGATCTGGGCAAGGCACTGTATGATCTTGTCTGCGTTGAAACACCAGATTCACCAGAAATGGTAACCTTAAAGACACATTTACAATTCATAGCAGATTCCACGTTTCAGTTGAATTCTTGCACATCTAAAAGAGCAATTCCATGCAATTCCCTCATTCCACGTTTCTTCCCTCATGGTTTAAAACATGGCCCTTGTGGGGTGTCCCCATAAATGGCTCTGAACATCGCGAAACCCAACATCAAACTGGGTTTCTCTGAAAATATACCATTCATCCATATTCACATATTCATCCCCTGGTTTGTCATCAATCTTTCCATCTATGGCCCTTACCCTCTGGTAAACTAACATAACTATGGAAAATCACCATTTTCAATGGGTAATTCCACTATAAATCACCATTTTCAATAGCAAACTGTTAGTTTGCCAGAGGGTAAATCACCGTTAATCACCATTAATCACCATTGAAATAGTGAGTTTTCCCATGAAAAATGGTGATTTTCCTTAGTTTTCCCGTGAAAACTGATGGTTTTTGTTCCCCATCTCTAGGCAACGGCCATGGCAACGGAGTCGTGGTCACCCACGGCGCCTGATTCTGCAAGGCGAAACGGAATGACTCGTGTCCGCCGCCTTGACACTGGTTTCTTTTTTTCACGGCCACCCACCATATCTACAGGGGGGTTCATAGACAGTGTATATATAATATATGATATGTATATATATATATGTACATACGCACACAGTATACATATATATATATATGTACTTGTATAATCTTGTATAGATCCATGTACATATAGGGAGCATCATTATCTCGGGGGGCAGGGGGGAACTACCAGACACTGGGCCACATATATATATGTATATATATATACATAATACTAATAATCATATATAATCATATGGGTCTGTCTGAAAATGAAGTATACCTGCAAATGCTACTTTTAGGGAACATTATGATTAAGGAGGAGTAACTATTTCTTGTAGAATCATCGGATGAGTAAAAAAAATAAGGCAACTCAATTGATGTATGGACTTGGTAGATCATTGACGGATAGATGAAGAATTCATGGATCATTCAGGTGACATTTTTAGGAGACTACTTTTGATGGCTGATTTTTGGCTAAATGGACTATTCCTTTTCGGGTGGTGGGCCTGTCTTAGAAAGTAGGGTAACTCATTCCACTGGTGAATCATCGTTGCCCTATCTAATAGCCATATTTTGGGTGGCATTTCCCCATTTTCAGACACAGTTCTTGAACTTCTGCTAGGGAAAATGCTACTGGATTGGCAACTTTGATTATCCAACCCTTGATGGATGGTTGCTGGGCCCCAGTTGAGAGCTATCCGATGCAGCCTGAGCCAAGTAAAACCACACGATTTTTTTGGTGCCGATCCTGCATTTTAAGACTTTGCGAACTGGAAGCCATGGCCACATTTAGTTCGATGATAAACATCATGATTTAGCTATAACAAAAAGCCTATCTGTAATCTACAATGGTGTTTTTCTTGAGATGGCACTGGTGGAATAAAATTGGCCCGCATAGCAAATTTTCTCAGAGACCCTGCATAAAATTTATCCTTTACCCTCGGGCAATTTGACATAGCTATTGAAAATGGCCATTGATAGTTGATTTACCGTATACCTATTAAAAATGGGGATTTTCCAGTTCGCTATGATTAGTCTACCAAAGGGTATCTAGTTTCTAAGGAATAAAGGCCGCAACCGCCATCCGTCAGGCCTATTCCATCAGTCCGTCCTACACTATATCCTGAAGCGGCCGTCACTGGTCATTGACCATACGATCAGCAAATGTCACATCCAACTCCCTTGGCTTTTGTCATTCTGAACTGAATCAATCCAGATATATCATGATGTATCCAGATTCATATGTATGAAAAACTCACGCCAGGAGACCTGGCAAGTGGCGTCATGATACCTATGCTGAACATGATCAGCAAAGGTGGATTTTTGGGCACCCAAATTTCTGGCACAATCTCGTATCAACAGATTCCAAGATTTTTCCATGAACTTTCAAGTCGCATTTTTTTTCCCTGTCAGGGGTCAAAATCACCTTTCAATCAGATGTCTTGCCTGCAGCTCTGCATGTGAGATTTAAGGAATATGGCCAATCATAGATACCGGGTATATCCGGATATCAAATATTCTGCCTTTCTTGGCTGAAAATGAGCCTCTTCACCTACCCAACCAAGGTTTTCCCAGATATCGAGTGCCAGAACATATCCCCAGTGAGATTTGTAGCCCTTGTATATTCCCACAATACCCTCCATTATCCCACTTTATCCCACAATTTGGCATGAATTTCTCAGAATTTGGCAGCAAGAAACACAAAGCCATCCCCATAAAAACCGACGAAATCTCCCCAAATCTCCCAGTGTCCGGCATAGCTGTGCATCTCTCCCGGCCCGCTGGAGAAAATTCACCGTGCTACACGAGGCTCGATGGTACAGCCAGGCGGCCCTTGTTTGCTGTGAGGTTTTGAAGGTCAAAAAACAAAATCACTGCTGTGAAAAAAACAGAATCACTAGTTATGCTGGTTATGAACGTTTATCCCCCCAAATCCATCGGAAACTCATCGCTTTTTTACATGTTTTGAATCCCTGTGTTTTTCAGCTATCCACAAGAATCCCGTCACGGCACTTGAGGCATTAAAAGCCAAGCTTTGAGTCTGAGCGAGGTTCGCAGGGATGATCCAGTAGCTCTTACCCTTTTTAGAGAAATCCTCTTGGGCAGATCATGGCAGATCTTAACCTTGACCCGATTTCTTCAACTCATCGCAAGGGCCGGTTTGTTTCTGAATGTCTGTAAGTCGGGCAGGTCACCCTGGAGCCAGGAGCCAGATGCGAAGCGGATCAGCCAGGAGCGAATTTTTCTTTCCTGAAAAATCGGCGAAACCTCGGAGTTCAGCTAGTCAGATTCAGACTTTCGGGGTGTGCAAAGACCTGAGGTTCTCTAAAAACTTCATGGTGATACCCCAACAATCTCCAAATTCGAAGGATCGCCACCCATGGTAACCCTTCACTGCCAGTTGACCCCATATATTACCAGATGCACTGCCTGTCACCAGAATTAGCTAGATGTGACATATCCAGTCTGACCTCACTATCCCCCAAAAAGTGAGATGTCCAATTCCAACATTATGATATCCCCATCATTTCATCGGTGTCCCATAGGTGTCCCATAGGTGTCCCATAGGTTTCCCATAGGTTTCCCATAGGTTTCCCCATTATATCCCTCCGTTTTTATGTTTGATCAATGCATGGACAACAACAAATCCAGAGCCACGAATGTCTGTGATTGAGTGACCAGGCAACAAATGTCTTACCACCCAAGAATACCTAGTTGCATATGTAATATTTAGCGGCGTATACATATAATATATACATATCTATATGTAAATTGCAAACACGCATGTGTTTGTATATAGGCAAAAGAACTATGTATCTAATGAAAAATGGGCAATATACATATGTATCTAATTATATGGAGGTTTCCAAAGTGGGGCTAACCCCAGTTACCCTCTGGTAAACTAACAGTTTGCTATTGAAAACTACCATTCATAGTTGAATTAACCATAAACAAAGGGTGATTTTCAATATTTATGTTAGTTTACCAAAGGGTAAATCACCATTAATCACCATTAATCACCATTAAATCACCATTGAAATAGTGAGTTTTCCCATGAAACATGGTGATTTTCCTTAGTTTGTCCATGAAAACTGGTGATTTCCCAGGTTACTTTCGAAGTTTCCAGTCTCCTGATCCAGGAAATCTTTGGCAATGCCGGGGTTGGTCCACATGCACTGCAGGTGACTCGCCAACTGAAGCATCACAATGCAGTTGTACCTGGTCTGAATATCCATGGCTTTCTGGCTATAAATATTCCCTATATGGGTGATATATATATAATTATATATATATATGGGTTATATTAGGTTTATTATCTATATATATATATGGACAAATATGGGTTAGTATGGATGGACAAAAGTTTTCCTCTTGGGCTGGACAATGGGCAACTGTGTACATTCTGCAATGATTGAGATCGTTGATTTTCTCGAACTCTCCTGGGCACCTTGTGCCCCTCCCCAAAAATAACGAACCGCCAGGACAAAAGCTTTCCAACACCCTTTGCCCATAGACTCTTACCAAAGAAGTTTCCTCTTAAGAGTTTCCCTACTTGGGTCGTGGACCACGGATCACATTCGTAACCTGTGAAAGAACTTTAATTCAAAACAACTAGCAAATTCGATCCACCACGCCGGCCACGCGAAATGGCACTCAGAATCATAACGCTGATCAGCCAAGGGATAAGGGATATACACTGCTTTGTTTTGAGACAGTGGACGGGAAACAACTTTCCTCCTCGTGAAGTATATCTTGATATTAATGTCATTAATGATAAATGATTCAAATATATTTCCATTTTTGTGGGGATATTGCGAAATTTCCCTGTTCTATCTACTTCAGGGTGACTATATGTATATGGGTAAATTGTAATAATGCACTCACCTGAAATGTTGTGGGCCATTTGGGGATGATTCCCCAAATCCTAACTATGATTCCAGGGTTCGGTCACGACGTGCGGTCACTATAACTTATCCAGATTAATGTTCATAATTGTAATTCTGAATTATGTTGTTGCTGGATGCACATCCTCATCAATATAGCAATTATTGATTTCCAGAAAATATCAATACAACAAGACATCTCGCAACACACATCAAATCTGAGCAAGACATTTTTAGCTGACTTTAACACTGTAATACAGGATCTTTAATAAGACGTCTGTTGACAAAGAGAAAGTGGTCATTCCGAACAACAATTTTCACAGGCGTACTAATGAAGAACTTCCCGTGGGCTGTGTGGATGTAATGCCCCAAGTAGTTGTAATATCTATATAGTCTATATATATACGTATATTTATTCATGTGTGTGTGTCTATATCTATGCATATGTCTATGTATATGTGTATGTCTATGTGTAGATGCACAGACACAGAAGAGGTGCATGGCTTACTAGAGGTAGCCCTTCAAAAGAGTCCAGCTGTGCAGGTGGTATCCTGTACATCCACTAGGTCTCCGAGTTCGGTAACTGGAAACGACTGCATCCGCCAATTTTGGATGTGTTTTGTGTGGAGAACCTGGAGGTTCAGAGTTTATACCAGATTCTGGCAAGGTTGTTTCTGTTCATCATTCTTTGGGGTTGTCTCGAAAAAGGGGCTTAAAATCCAATGGTGTTTCATCAACTTCTTTTTTCACCAGATTGAAATGTAGCTTTTTCGGCTTATCAGGTGGAAACGGGAAACTCAATTCGTAGCTCCTTTAAGGTCCCCATTTTCTGGGTGGAAATACCATACAAGGTGGTGCCCCATAGTTAGCTAAGTTGGTGCCAATAACTCCCACAACTATGGTTTATGGTAGATATAACTATAGTATTCATGGGGTTTATAAACCAACGTTCACATCACTGGGGGGCACCATCCTGTATAGTGAGGCTACTTAAAGCTCCAAATCCCCCAGAGCACCAGAAAGGTCACCACAGCGCAAAATTTTTAGCCCATCAAGAGGTTCCCCAGAGGGAAATATGGCAAACTGATGCAAACTGATGCAAACTAGGTCAACACCCTTTTAAATTGGGGCTCGAAAAAAAACCTGGTAGTGGATATTTGAAAAACCATGCCCTCCTTGATCCCACGTCGTCACAGGATGGCAATGCAACGCCAATGGCGGAACTCGGGGATCGCGCAAAAATTCACCTGGGATCACTGGGATCACTGCAACTGCTTGCGTTGAAATTTTCAGCTTCGCCAGAGACATGAAATATTTTGACGCAACACTTTTTTTTTAGGAACCCTACCCATGAAACGATAGTTGCTTGTCAGGTAGCCAGATCTTCTAGTCAAATGATCATCCCAGTTGAACACTGGGTAGAAAAATCACTGGCTCAACGGAATGTGTGGCTTTAGCTCATAAACATACAAACAGTGAAATTTAATGGTTTAATCAACAAGAACAACAAAAAAATCTATGGAACGGCAAAGGGATTTAGCCAACATGGCTTCCATGTGGGTCAATTCGGTACCACATGGGCTAAATGGACAGTCTTGTGATTGTGTTTCCAATTGTGTTCCCTATTTTGGCAAGACATTGAGGATACATCCCACCATTTTCGGGCAACACCAATCTCTATGTGTGTATATATAAATATAATGCATTTACGTATATATATATATAAATATATATATATATCATATCATATTGTTAGTCAGATATCCTTTTTATTTTCCAGGGTATCCCCGCAACATAGTTTACATTTCGAAACGATTCGGCCATCCCGGTGGCCCCGGTGGCCCTCTCTTTGGATGCCGACAGCGAAAGCGACCGTCAGAGTGGTGCTGTACATGACGATGGTGCAAAAAATCCTGAGGCCCAAAGACCAATGGATCCTGCCAAAACATATCCTCTGGGTAACCAATAAAAATATCTATAAAAATGGTGCTAGAAAAAGCATGGAAGAATACTATGGAAATATATACCCTCTGTTTTGTTTTTAAACAGTTTGCGAACTTGAACATGGCCATAGAAAGTTCGTTGATTTACCCAGCTATAAGATGGTGATTTTCCAGTTCGCAATGTTGGGTTACCAGAGGCTGGCAATTTGCTGTGGAAACGATGGTCTTCCAATCCTTCCCCGATGAATGCCAGGGCACGCACAAAATCATGGGATCAAAACCAGCCGTATCATATTTGGAATATCATCATCAACCATGATTGTTATAATGGTTAACAGCAATCATGTGGGTAAAACAATGCCAAAAACCAACCATGACTGGGAATGGTAACCATACCACATGCTGAAGGTGATGGCTGGGGGATGGTTTTAAAGTTTTGTTTTGCCCCCATTAATACTGCTATCATGTAAAATGAGAGCTACCTTAGATGGTCAATAAAAAAAAACCTCCAGAAACCGACCAGGACCTACTGCCATCTCCAGCTATAGCTGGGTCAGGTTTTCTCAGCTTTTTCCTGGTATCCAAGAATCGCAAGTCATCAATCCATGGTATCCGATCCATGGTATCCGATCATTAAGCGGATGTATCTAAACGTACATGTATCCGATCATGTATCCGATCAATGTCTCCAATGGATCTGTCTATTTTTTTGTAGATTTCCAATCTTGTCGATGCATGAAAACCCATGGTTTTGTCAGGAAATGATCTATAAATGATGGGTTTTCCACATGGTGATGGTCAAAATTGGAATATCCAAAGACAGAAGACTAAACATGGACCAATATCTGTGGTCCCCTAGGTCTTTAATTTTGACCTGTCCCCAATATTTATGTTATTTACTGGAAGGTAAATCGTCAATTCCCAACAGCCCAACAGCTTTGGGGTCTCAGCCCAGATGAAGGTTCGGAGCAAGTTCTAGGGGTCTTCGCTGGACTGCTGCCAGGCTTTCCTACCACTTTTGATGGTCAAATCTCTCTGTTTTTGCACTTCAAAATCCCCGGTAAAAATCCCAGTGTTACAGTGTTACCGTCTCGGTGAAGTAATTAGATATTATGACATATTAATAAATTCTATTGCTTTCTACTTCTTAACCACTAATACTATTACTACTTACTAGAAAAACGATATACTATACTACTACTATAGCTTTTTCTGCGGTTTCAGAAGCAATGTTAAGCAGTTTTTGCAAGCGATTTTTTAGCTTTTCTGTCCTTTACTGCCATGGTGTTTTAGCGTTTCGCATGCTGCTAAGCTTAGCATCCTGCTTGTGGGGCGGGTCATCCATGTAATTCGATGATTGTACAATATATTCCCATGAAATTAAAAGGTCGTTGCCATAATGTTGGGTTTGCCTGAACTCCTGAAATCAGTTATCCCATGTTATCCCCATTCATCATCAATTATCCCTCCTTAAGATGACCATTTTGGGAGTATACTCTATTTTCAGACACACCTAAATCGAATCTAGCTGGTTACATACCACCCGAGTTGGATATAGTTGATTTTACCTTATGATACCCATTGTGTTTGCTTGCAACTACCTGACATGCAGTTGAGGTGACAAAAATGCTGTAATCATGGTTTCAGCCCCCAATAGTTGGGATATAACCCCTATAACTATGATGAAATCTATCCACTCACAACTGGAACGGCACTTCCAAGTACCAAGCACTCATCCACTGGGTCTGACGTCGAGGTACCCCCAAGCGTCGCCGCAGCCCCGGCCAAAACACCGCCCGCTGTCATTGGGACGGGTCCTGCTGGGGAAAAATCAATGGGAACTTGGCACAAAAAAAAACCCAAGTATGGCTATCAAATAATGGTAGTGAAGCAATAGTAAACCATCTTCATTTTTTTAGATGGTATACACCATCAGTATGCGTGGTTTATTGTTGCTGTACTGACATCATGCCTATCAAATAATGTGGAACATGATGTTGTAAACCATGCAAAAACTGGGGGGAGTTTAAAGATGATATTTGCATGATTTAAGCAACAAATATTGCGGGATTTAACTGACAGTTGCTGGGAAATATTGGGATCTGAACGAATATTTCATGAGTATCTTCACTAAACACACCAAAATGGCGTGTCAAGAAGTTAGGCACCAACATTTGGGGTCATCAGCAACAAAAGTTGCAATTCAAGAGAGCTGTGGAACCAATTGGACACCCAGTTCTGGCAATTTCAATGGGAAAAATGAGGCTTTTCAAGGCATAAAATTTGGGGTTACCCATGCTGTCCCCCATGGGTTCAAAGTTAAACCCACCATTTTCGATGCCCACCATTTTCGTGATCGAGGGTAAAATCTCATGGGTCACATCCCAATGATCCAATGGTGGTTGCATCATTGCACAGCTGCTTAGAATGGGTTGAAATAGCATACAATAGCACTGTTTATATGTTTTTTTGAATGGAACTTGTTTCATCCTTTCAAATCCCCACATGAAAAAAACATGTTCAGATTCCACCCCCGTCATCTCCCAAAAAAACGACAGCATTTCTCAGGAAAAGAACTGGACCACTCCAGCTCCAGCCTGATCTCTGAAGTCATCGACATCCGTCGAATGGCTGCAGAGTGGCAGATGTTTTTCCTGCACCTATTTGCACATTTTTGGATGAAATCCCGGTAGCCCAAAAGTTGCACTTTGTGGTACCAGGGATCGTCTGTGCGCTAAAAAAAGGTCTACACTTAACAAATCTTGATCTAAGTCGAGCAAAGGAACCCAGAAATGAAGACACCTTCATCTCTGAGCCATGATTTTTGATTGGCTAACCGGGTAGGGGGACTCGCAGAACCCGGCCACCGGCCCTCGGAGATTGCTCCGCAGCCGCTGGCGCGAGCGCGAGGAGGGCCCCCTTTGAGCAGCAAAGTTTGTGACATGTCGAAATGTCTGATCTGTGGATCACAAGCACAAGCTGATTACACGCTATCATTGAATCATATATCAGCTGATCTTATGAGTTAAAATGATCTGATCTACTCATCTATCAATTTTCTTCTCAACCTAGCTTTCTATATGTGCCTTTGCTAGCCATGATCTTAGAGCCCCACATCCCCCGCTGCAAGAGGATCATCCCTGGAATGGTAAGTGGTTCATAACCATATTATATACACGTATATATATATATATGTCTATAAATATATGTATATATATATATCTAATCCATTTATAGATGGGATTTATAGATGGGATACTAACCAATTTTCTACAGGGATCCCCCTTTTAAGCAACTCCACACAAAAAAAACACGTATTTTTTTTCTGCATGGAACAGCGGCAGGTTCCCACGAGAATGGAGCGATGGCTGGCAACAGCATCTGGCTGTTGGTAGGGACGAGATTTGTGCTGGGAGGGATGAACACCAGGTTTCAGCATAGAGAACAGTGCCATTTCTTCCGGATCTTTCCCCGCAAGCTGACAACATCTTCTGGGATATGATTAGTAGAGCATGGTCTAAGCAATCTTTTCATCTAACCACAATCGTCTGTTCACCCAAAAAAGGTGAAGCACGCATTCGAATTCCACTATATTCTGACTATATCCATGACATGGTTGGTATATGTTGGTATTTTGAGGGGTTGGTATTTGTGCATCCAACCCGTGGCCAAACACAAAGACGGTGTCCCTTCAAAAGTTCCCAGTGTGTTGCCGTCGCCATGGCATCGGAAGATTCCAATGGCAGCTGACTGCCGAAAACATGCGAGTCCATTGGGTACAAGTCAAAACCGTGGGACCCGGATGATACCCTAAATTAATGGAAGTTGTTTCCCCCAGTCATATGGCAATACTCGGTTTTGACACATCCCCAATTGGATCCAATTGGGTTCATCCTCCAGGCGCTGAACCATCACCATCTGAAGAGATTTCATGTGATCAGGCTTGCCTTCTTGGGCCTGTCCGAAAATGACTTGTATACCGATCTCATCCGATATCCAAGGAGCTTGGCCATTCTAACAATCGCTAATATGATGATCAATGATCAATGACAACACATCTAATTTTGGGGTAGACCAATTGCAATCAAAGCTACTCAATTGTCTACCTTGTCGAGCGATTGCCACACGCCGCAGTTCATTGAACTGGAAGGAACAAACCTTGAGAGGGTGTTCGCTTGCGAGATTGGGGACTGCCGAAGTAATCCGGGCTTCTGCAGATTCAGCAGAAAATGTCCGACAACATGTCTGCCCGCACTGCCAAACAATAACACAGCCAATTGAGGGCCCATTGGCACCACATTCTTTAGCGTAGCTATCTAAGGTATGCCATCGCGACCAGACACTGTCAAGGCAGCCAAGGCATTGGCAACACTCAGCCTCAAACGTGGCTTCTGAGTGAATTTTGGAGTCTGGAAAAAAAACTGCTGACCCCCTGGTAATCAAACGTGGCTAGCTGGACAATCCACCATTTAGTTCGATGATTTTCCTATTTTAACCTCCAGTAGATGCTTTTCCTACAAAAACTCCAGTATTACAGGGGATTTTCCGCCAGCTTTGATGACACCAGAGGGTACATACAACTAGCCTGCTACTGGTGCCCTTCATCATCATGGCGTCTGGATAGGCATCTAGGAGGTGAGGCACATCAACTTAACCTTACTAAATGGCTTTAAACAGAAAAACAGAAATTTTGTGAAAATGGAATGATCACCATCCAACCATCTAGATCCATCCAGTAATATGAATGTATACATATATACATATATATATATATATGTATATATATATATATATGTATGTATATATATATATATGTATATATATATGTATGTATATATATATAATGTGAATATATATATATAATATACAGTCCAACTTTTGACCCTGGCACATGTAGAAATCTCCGTCTTCACCAATCGTGAAATCACCATCACTTCCGGGCTCACATGCCTCACTGGTCGGTCAACCATCCGTGATGTCAGTACCTGCCAGCAGGTTCGTTTCGCCGGGATGTGTCAATGGTGAATAGCCCCATCAGTTTGGCCACTCTTTGGGAAAATGATGATCATCCATGGGATTTTTTTGGTTTCCCATATTTCAGTGTTTCTCACTTCAACCCCGTCGGATCGTCGGATCAAATCTAAATGTGTGTCTGCGACAGTTCATATTGATGTTTGCGGTGTGCACTCCCACCTGACCGTCGCTGTCGCCCACTTAAGTACCACTTGAGATAATATTGAAGTTATTTCTCTTCCTCAAAATCCCTATTTGGTTGATGAACAAATTCCGTTTTGAGTAGAATCTTCCAGTCTTAGCGTGCAATGTGTGAAATTTTCGTCGGTGTACCAGGGCCATTCCCAGCTGCGAAGCGAGGCACTGTCAGTCATGTCCACGCGGTAGCTACTAATGGAGGCCTGGACAGGTGACGCCCAACGAAAACAGGCTAGCTAAGTGGGAGAAGACCATCAAATACAATGGTTTGAACCGTTTTTTGTTGGTCATCAAAGGAAGTTTAGGGGGAGAAACTTCCGTGTTACGGACTTTTAGAATGTCAGGGAAAGAGTTAGTCAAAGAAAGAGTTAGTGAGGGAAAGAGTTAATTGTAACTTTTAGAATGTCAGGGAAAGAGTTAGTCAAAGAAAGAGGGAAAGAGTTAATTGTAACTTTTAGACTGTCAGGGAAAGAGTTAGTCAAAGGAAGAGTTAGTTAGGGACAGAGTTAATTGTAACTTTTAGAATGTCAGGGAAAGAGTTAGTCAAAGAAAGAGTTCGTGAGGGAAAGAGGAATGTCAGGGAAAGAGTTAGTCAAAGAAAGAGTTCGTGAGGGAAAGAGGAATGTCAGGGAAAGAGTTAGTCAAAGAAAGAGTTAGTGAGGGACAGAGTTAATTGTAAATGACATCTTCAAGTTGGATTTTTGAAGGAAGTCTCGCACGAAATGCGTTTTTGAGAGATAGCAGATGCACGAAACCCTATGTTTTTCCATACAAAGTCCGTCCCCGAACCTCGATGATCTACCTCTGCGGTGCGACGGTTGCGAGACGGTCTCGTGTGTGGTGGTCGGATCATGGGCGGATCATGGGCGGATCATTCTCGGATCGGTTCCGCATTGTAAATGGGGTTTCACCTGTGTTTCGTGCATTTGCGGTCGACAGAATTCCATTGTGATTTGCAACTGTAGGATCGTTCCCGCAATGTAAATGGGATTGCAAGTGGTGCTGGTGGATGAGTTGCCGATATTTGCCGATGGAATTCCATTGTGATTTGCAACTGTAGGATCGTTCCTGCAATGCAAATGGCATTGCAAGTGGTGCTGGTGGAGGAGTTGCCGATGGAGTTTTGAAGGAAGTCTCGCACGAAATGCGTTTTTGAGAGATAGCAGATGCACGAAACCCTATGTTTTTTCATACAAAGTCCGTCCCCGAACCTCGATGATCTACCTCTGCGGTGCGACGGGTGCGAGACGGTCTCGTGTGTGGTCGGATCATGCTCGGATCATGGTCGGATCATGGTCGGATCGGTCTCGGATCGGTTCCGCATTGTAAATGGGGTTTCAACTGTGTTTCGTGCATGTGCGGTCGACAGAATTCCATTGTGATTTGCAACTGTAGGATCGTTCCCGCAATGTAAATGGGATTGCAAGTGGTGCTGGTGGATGAGTTGCCGATGGAATTCCATTGTGATTTGCAACTGTAGGATCGTTCCCGCAGTGTAAATGGGTTTGCAAGTGGTGCTGGTGGAGGAGTTGCCGATGGAGT